ACGTCTACTGGCAAACTAGACCTTTATTCCACAGCATGCAACCCATCATTTCCTAGGAAATGGCAGGTACTAAGAAATACTAAGATGAGGTGATTTAAATGATAACAACTTTATTGAACTTTCCATGCATATAGTAACAGATCTGATTTATAATCCTTCTCTAATTACTTTTGAAAGGTCCATTTGTGTGACTCACAGACTGACACGATGTCTGTTATGGCATGCATACATCACCCCTTCCATGCCTCTGGTCTCCTGAAATTCAAGCTCTCTACCTGCAATTTGATATACTGCATAAACTGCAAATCAGCTGATACTAGGACGTTTTTTGTGGGTTTTTGATTGCATTACTTTCAATAACTGTAACACTACGGAGCTGCTGGAGTTCTGTACCACGTAACACAAGCCTGGCTGTTTCCTACGTATCAGTTTTAATAAGTTTTCTTTTTTACAAATGATAATGCTTGAAAAGTCATTTAAAAAATTGAAGATGTCGAGCATAAATGTGTATAGGGCATTTTTCCTTTTAAAAGAACTTGTAGGCTGTGTAGAGGAAAAACTTGTAAGGAATCACCTGTGATAAATATCTGACATAAAATTAATGACTTAATAAGTTTCTAATGGACAACTGGGAATTCTGTTATAGTAGAAAAACTTTAAAAAGAGAAAAATCTGGTAAATTTGTGAACTTTATCAGTTTCCTAAATTCCTGCCTGATTCTTGAAATACTCTGATCTCCTCCAGACTTTATGAATTATAAATAGCTACAAAACAGCAATTATATTGTAGTTAAGTATTTATACTCTCACTATGTATTTTTTAGTAGTTTCGTAGAAAAATCATTAAATCAGAATTAAAAAGTGAGTGGTACCAGCAGTGTACTGTTCAAATGCAGCCATACTTGGTTACAAGGATGTTACTCCTGTGTGGCTTGGATTCAGTGAAAGTGAAGTGGGCAGAAAGTTAAAAAATAAAATTACTGAAGTATGAAGAGAGGAAGAAATGTAGGTAGACCACCAGGGTAACAGATAAGAGGAAGGACATGAAGGCATGAAAGGTGGTTTAAATTTTGAGCAGTATTACAGGGCAGTGTTTCCTGGACCTGTACAAGTCCCACTTCACCATGAAAAGTCTCTCGCTGCCTCAGTAGCAAATCAGAATAAATGAGAAATATGTCTACATTAAAAAATTCTAGATGCACACGTAGAAGAAGAGTGTCGCACACAGAGCACAGAATTGGGGAGCAGAAATTCTTGATTCTCAGCTCATCAGGCATACCCATCCCACAGCCTTCTTCAGGACAGTGGGTGACTGAAATGTGCCCCAATAATTTTTAGGTTGATTACAAGACAGAGAAGAAAAAGAGAAGAAAACCAGGTGTGATAAGAGTGGACTGGGGCAGTCTTACTCATTACTGTAAGTAGACTGAAAAGCCAGATATTGTCCTCTCAGAAACAGAATTACATTTTTTTGAAGAATCTGCTTATAAAGCCTTGCATGTTATAAAATTATCAGATCTGATTCCTGCACCTACTGCCGAGTAGACCACTTTTAAATTTCCCACAGTGTGAGGATTACAACTAATAAATTGCAGGACAAACCCACATTTTTCAATCAAGGAATCTAACTGTTCAGACTTTCCATTGCCTTTAGAAGACTTCTATAGAGAATTGACCATTTCACAGCACCATGAAGGCAAACACTGGAGTAATTTGTAGAACACTGTTGGTGTACTGTACATTCATATTGGAGTACAGTATATGATATCAATAATATCTGTAGGGTCATATGAGAAGCAGGTCAAGTTAATGAAGCTATTGAATAGGAAAAAACAGAAGCTCTAGGCAGGCAATATAATAAAATTCAGTATATGCCATGAGGAAACAAGCAGAGAACAGAACAGTGAGCAAAAGTAATGAGGTGAAGAATAGCTATGCCTGTTCTTCACCGTTTGGATTACAACACCACCCCTCAGGACAGGGTTCCAGTTGCACAGTGGGCTGCACAAAACTGGTTATTTTATGCTGCAACTCCCCAGATAATGTTGCTTGAATAAGCCCATACTGATGTACATTTTTATTGTAGTTGGTAAAAACATGTGCTGAACAACAGCATTAAATCCTTTTCCTAGAGAATTCCAAAAGAGCTGGAATTCTCATTGGCACAGCAGCTACACTGTGTGACAAGAAAAAGGTTAACATATGAACATCCACTTCTTGGTCACCTATAAAGCATGGCTTGACGATTACTGCAGCAGTGTCAGAAGATGGGAAGATGTTGTACACTCAAAGCTCAAGGAACAACTAGGAGGTATATTTGAGCAAAACCAAGACAACAAAGAGTGAGCAAGATGCTAACATATCCCCATGAAGAGAAAAGTATGTCGTGCGGAATGGTTAGTCAGAGTGGATGCCTCTGGATATTGTCTGCAGAAGTTAATTTTTCTGGAAAGCACACTCAGATATTATGTAAATCCCAAAACACAAGCAAACTAATTTAGATATGGTATGAGGTTTGGCACCAGGGAAAGAAAAACTTTACAGTTTATGGAACTGTCTGACAGTTTCTAGGCAGAAAATAATGGGTTTGGAGAATTTTAAATGCTGTGGCAACCGCAGGTCAATGTCCTTCCCACCATTTCTGCCTGGTAACAAGATATCTCAGAAACAAATTGATGCCACTAATGTAACAATCCTGTTGAAAACAGTCCGGCTCCAAAAGAAGAAGTTGCCCATCTTGTTTAAGCACTGGAAAAAAAGGGTTTCAACTTGTCAAAAAAGCCTAACCTTAGGACAAGACTTTCTTCCTTAAGCACAAGCCTGACCGAAACAATCCATTTCAAAGCTATGTATGGCCGGCAGCGCGGTTGTGGTACCTTCCTGTGGATTGGGACTCATTAGCCCAGCTCTTTCTCTGGACTCCTGCCTAAGTCTGCTTCTGATGTGAGCGGTTTGCTAGTCATCAGCGCGGATAACCAAAACCAACTGTATGCCAATGAGCCAGAGCACTCCCTTTATGTGCCATGACTACAACTTTGATATGCCATAATAATGCTTTCCTGATGAGCTATAAACACTTGGGACTGATCTTGAATGGAACTGGAAAGAGTTCAAAAGTCCTGCTTACTTGCTAAAGCAGGGATGGCTTTCCTGGGGAAAATGCAGATGCAAGTGGTACAATAAAGCTGGAGGTAAATGGATGATTTACAAGTTTCTCAGACTAATAAAATAGCTCTCCTGTAATTATACCTAACATAAAAACCTCGAGACTGTTACGCATGCATTTTGCAAGGCAGAACAGCAAACGTGACAGAGCCGGGCACTGCGTAACAGGCTTTGCATAACAACTCATGAAATCATCACTGCTCAATTTCTAGTCAATTTTGCCACATAGCATGTGTTTTTCCAAACGGCTGTATCCTGCAAGCTCATGATTTGCTGGCTCTGGGAGCTGAACTAACCCCAAATTTGATAGAGAGTCATGAGTAGGAAACAATTTGGTTGTTCTCTGGGGTGAAGAATGGAAAGAAAAAGGCATGTGTTGATTAATACATTGCAGTGCTGATCCACCCCTTAATTTGGAGAACGGAGTCAAACAATTCCTCTGCCTCACTTTATATGGAAAACTGAATTTGTCTTTGGACTATTACTGTAAAGCAAGGGATACTCCCACAGCATCTGAAACAAAGGCTAGTAACGTTGGAGGAAAGACATTCCCTGATTTCCGCAGACATTGGGTGAGGCTTAAACTTTATACACTTTTGGAGTGAGCTAGCTGAATAAATGAGGCAAACTGTATTGGCCATTGTTAAGGATTAGTATTTAGAGGCAGCAAGAGTATCAGAGAGAGTTAATGTCACTAGAACTTTTTACAAATGCAGAAGTTCAGTCCCACTACTAAAAAATTATCAAAATTCTGTACTTCTGCTGCTGTGGGATAAGACTAACGTACACTGTCTTTGAACTTAAAACTCTCTGGTCATTTTACTGTCTGCATTTCTGGCAGACACAATATGCATTTTTTTCCCAGCAAAATTACTATCTTTCTATGCTTTGCCAATTTTCTCCCTTACTTTTTTTTGGGGGGGGAGGGGGGCGGGGAGAGGTGTAATTTCCCCCCTCCTTTCCTTGGCTGTCAAATTAAGGCACGCAAGTCAGGCAGTACGAGGAGAGCTAGCTGCTGTCCCTCGAAGCTGATGCCAGCCATGCGGACCAGCCCCGGGGGATGCTGCGTGCACGGGGGTGTGCGGAGGCCAGGGCGTTCTTCGCATTTCCCAAGGGAGCAAGGCACCCTGGCGCAGGCTCTGCCTGTGCTGGGAGATCACCGCCACGCCAAAGCTCTCCAGCCTCGCACTTAACTGCCAAGTGCTGCTTCTGTGCCATCTCACGCGTTTCCCTCCCAGGAGAGGGAAAGGGACAGGTGAAGTTTTCGGTGCTTCTCTGAAACCTAGCCTGTGCTGATGCTACGAAAGCAGGAGCACGGCAACGCCGCTTCAAGAGGAAGCCCCACCTGGCACACACCGCCAGCACCGACAAAGAGATCACGTATTTTCCACGGGAAGATCATCAGAAGTTGTAGCAGAAGGAGGTGAGCTGTGGTGCAAGCACCCTGCCAGGCCCGCCCCCC